CCATCTTCAAGGGCTGATACCTGCTGTGCGGACTCATATAAATATATGTGTGTCTGTAACGGGACCCCGTCAATATGCTTCCTCCCCTGCCATACCTCGCTTCTTTTTCACCTCCAACGGGAACAATGTCGTCTGGCGGGTTTCCGGGAAGGAGGCCAGGTAAAGAGAGGCGTCTGCTCATCTTTTCCTAACCCTTTCCCCCTCCCCCCCCTCTTCGTGAAACAGACGAAGCAGACAGGGATCAAGACGGGGTGATCAACGAGGAGGAATTCTTCCGCGTTATGCGAAAACGAGGGAATGCGCCCTTGGATGTGAGTAAAGGAGGGAGAGGGAGTAGAAGGGGGGGTGGGTGAGGAAGGTAATTAACTAGGAAAGGGCCAGCCCGCGCGTTTTCCGCAATGCTGTATATCTTCCGACGTGCGCGGGCCTTGATTAAAGTGCCAGTCAATTTCCTGGATCGTTATTTGTTCCTCACGCACGTGCACTCCTCCCCTGTGCACGCTTCTTGGCAGGACATTGACTCCGACGACGACTATTGAGGTGCAGGGAGGTCGGTTTGGAGGTGGAGGTTAAGGATGGGCAATGGACAAGAACACAGGAAGCAAGAGATATGAAGGCAGTGGAAGTGGTGGAAGGAAGGTGGAACCAAAAGAAGAAAGTGGGGAAGGGCGTGCAGGCGAGGCACAGGTCGGGACGGAGGGCAAGTGAGAGGGAGCGGCGCATCACGCATTCAGAATATAACGACGGGACGGGGAGTCACGGTTTTAGATGAGCATAAAAAGAAGGATGCCCTTGAATTCGGCGCTAAACTCTCTTTATTTTGGAGCGCGAAGGGTTACAGTGAAGAGGCTACCTAAGGAGTTAAAAAAAAAACAGAAAAAAAACAGGGCACTTTAAACCAGCCATGAGCATTCGCGCCCGATTTCTTTCTTGCATCGTGTGATGGACTAATGCTTCGCCAGACTATTGTGTGATATGAGACGGTGCGCATCAATCACCATGTCACATGAGCCATATACGGGAGCACTTTGTATTGAATCCAAGCGGCGCTAACCCTGTGTTTAATTCGTGGGGGATGTTCATGTTCAAAGTGTGGGATGTGGGGTGTTACTTCTCCATGCCACAAGAGTAAAATGATGAAGGATGTGGAAGTTCTGTGAGCTAGACGCAAAGGTGGGATAAAGTGAGATGTATAAGGATGAGCAAAGCGGTAGTGCTAGCACAGACTCATTTTTCCATGGAAAGGTCTCACGACTTCACACGGTTCGGTGCGAGCAGCTAGCGAGCGAGCAGAACGCGAGCATCGTGTGCATCCTTTACAGCACTTGTTGTGTCATCAGACGATTGAAATGCACCACTTTTTACTCGGGATGTGCCCATGCAATAAGTCCCCCTTCCTTCCACTCTAGCCACGCCCTGCCCCTATTATTATGCCTCGAAGGCAAAGCCACTCAGAGGCAGTGATAGAGCTTCTCGCATTTTTCTTACGGTGCTACACGATTTTACAGGGACTCCCAGTGCCTCATCCCCCTCTCCATGATGACGTAAGACCAGTTTTCCCAAAGGTTTGGTTTCTAGGTTTTTTACCCCCCCATCCTACGACCCCCGGGACCTCGCCGTCGCCTTTTTCTCGCCCGAAAGCAACACAACGGAGGCGACGAAACCCAATATATGTACCGAAGATCACGCCTGACTTGAGCGTTCCCCTTCAAAAAGCGCGTGTCAAAATTTAAATTCCATCGGTCACGGTCTCGGACTCAGTCTTGGAGTGTGGTTGGCGTTCATCACTATTTTCAGAAGGTCATTCATGAGAATCTGAAGGATACATAGGAAAGACAAGTCCTCAACTACAAATAAAGCACCCAGGAGTCCATCAATACCCTCTGACGCAATGTTTTGTCCTCATAGTGCTCCAACTTTCCCTATAGCCCACCCTGTTTATTATTTCGATGCTTAGTAGGTATTCGACGCGTGGCGTGGGTAGGGTGAAAGGTAGAGCGACTGTCTCCAGAAAAATGACACACAGGGCTTTGAGGTACACAATTCATGTCATGCACATACTTACTAGATAAATCAACGTGTAGGTTTCGCTCTCATGTCCAATGTGGACGCCTCCGACTCGGCGGCGCAGGGTCTTACACGCCTGAACCGGTGGAAAGCATGCGGCGGATTTTTTGAGCAATATACCCATCCGAGCTCCAGCACCAACACCGTGATGCGGTTTACCGTTTACTTTCCTCCTCAGTCTGCCCATAAACCTGTGCCTGTCCTCTATTTCCTATCAGGCCTGACGTGTACCGATGAGAACGTGGTGCAGAAAGGATTTGTCCAGTCCCAAGCCGCGAAAAGGGGTTTGGCGGTGGTGTGTCCGGATACCTCCCCCAGAGGCGCCGGTGTGGATGGCGAGGACGAGAGCTGGGATTTCGGCACAGGGGCAGGATTCTACGTGGATGCGACGGCGAGTAAATGGTCTCGGTACGTGGCATATTCGCGGTCCTGGAGGTCATGGGATCTGACTCCGTGCGCAGAACCGACGACGTTTGGTTACAGGGGGACACCCACGTAATGGGATGTACGATGATCTTTGTTTCCAGTTCGGTACGGAGGGAGAAAAAAATGTTTCTTCCAATCAGCGTCCCTCGCGCAGCCCCCACATGCCCGTAGCCTCCCTGCCCTGACTCCTCCCCGCTCTCCGCTCCCTCCAGGCATTACAACATGTTCACGTACGTCACACAGGAGCTTCCGGCCATCCTCCACCGTCATTTCCCCACCGCCCTCCTTCCTGACGCCCGGTCTATCTGCGGGCATTCCATGGGAGGACACGGTGCCTTGGTCTGTGCCATGAAAACCTTCCTCTCACAGGGCGGTCCTCCCTACAAATCCGTCTCCGCCTTCGCCCCCATTGCGCACCCAACCGCCTGCCCGTGGGGTCAGAAAGCTTTCGGCGGATATTTGGAGGGGGACCAGGGGGCTGGCAATGCCGGGGAAGGCTGGGACGCGACCTTGCTCATGGAAAGAGAGGGGCCCTTTCCCTTCCCCCTCCTGGTCGACCAGGGTACGGCGGACACGTTTTTGGAGGGACAATTGATGCCAGAGGCCTTGGAAAAGGCCTGTGCGAGCAAAGGACAGGACGCGACGATTCGTCGGCAAGACGGCTACGACCACTCCTATTTCTTCATCAGTACATTCATGGCCGATCACATCGATTTCCACGCCAACGCCTTGGGTCTCCCGAGGGAGTGAGCTTGTCCTCGGTGGTCATGAAGGGGGCGGAAAGGGGCAATGCTTGCGTCTTCAGATAGGATCGACATCACCGGGCCACGCGTGTGGGGTAGTCCATCGGCACGGTGTGGATGGGTTTTTGCCGCGCGGTCTGTCCGTGACGTGAAGAAGACGCCATGACCGAGAAAAGTGTAGAGGAGACACTGTCATCTGATTGTAGGTGGTGCCGTGCCTGGGAGCGAAAAGCGATCTCTCTGCGCTTGCAAGGTGGCTACGGGCATGGGGCTGGCTTTTTGATCCGATTGCGACGCCCGGAGTGGAGTGGGAGGACAGGATGTGCCAATTAAGTTCCGTGTTGGGCCTGTCACAGTAAATGAGGAGGGGATCCGCCACCAGCGTGTAAGAGGGGAGATGGATAGTAAGTGTTATGACAGGAAAGGAGCATAGAAAGGTTCGTGCAAGAAAAAATCATCTCCCACGAAGTAGGGGTGCCAGAGATTTCCCTTGAGATCCGTGGTTGTAAATTTTTATTTTTCTTCCTTTGTTGATTGTACCTTCACGTACACTCCTGTTTTGTCATCGAATCTGATGATCCTCCGATTAAGCGATGAAAAATAAAATTTACCATAATTAAGGTAAGAATCACAATGGTTTGGAAGAATTCGCACAAAAGCTCACAGTAGTCTTCGATCGTCATGAGCATACCTCCCTCGACCCCCCCCGGCAAAGCCCGGCAGGTCTCCCGCAAGGCCTCCCCGCCCGTTGCCTGTCACCCGCTCAAAAGAACCTTTGTTTAAAAGCAGCATAGCCGGTCAAGCGCTGGCTGGCGTACAACAAAAAATCGAAATCGATGGGAGAGTATTTGGCCTGGATGATCGCCCAATAGCCCCAGAAAAGGTGGGCGGCACAGGCGTACCTGTTCACCCAAATGTACAATCCTTCTAGGAAAGCGTTTTCCTCTTTCTCCTCCATTTCCTTGCCTCCTACTTGCCATCGGCACGCGTCGAGGTAAGCCTTGAAGAACCACTCCTGCTGCGCTCTAGAAGGGTAACTAGCCTCGTAGTCAGGGTTGTACCCGGCATATTCACAAAAGTGATTGCCCAGATCAAACCCCCGATGGTTCCATCCGCCGTACTCAAAATCGATGAATTGGACCCGCCCTTCTTCCGCCGGGCCGCTTGTGGCCTCACCCACGATGGCAGCCCCAGTTGTCTCACTTTCCCCTCCATCTTCAAGGGCTGATACCTGCTGTGCGGACTTCCCCGTCCCCCTCCTCGCGTCCGCATCCTGGCCCTCGGAGCCGCCTTTTGCCCCTTCCCATACTCCCTCAACCTCGCGTCTTCTCCACATCGGATTGTACAAAATGTTCCCACACAAAACATCCTGGTGGGAAAAGACCAGCTCTGCCAGGAAGTACCGGGCTGCTTCTTGCCCTGATCTCTCCCTTCCTCTCTCCACTCCACCCTCTCCTTCCTCCCCGACCAGCTTGTCCTTCAACCACTCCATTTCCTTCTCCAAATTGTTCAACCCAATCGCTTCCAATTGTCTCTGTTTTTCTGTGCCTCCCTCCTGTCCATCGGGCCCCTCGAATGAGATATTTTTTGCCAGCCTCGCCCACTCTTCCATCTTCTCCCATACCACAGCTTTCCTTCCTCCCCCTCCGTTCCTCTTCCTCTTTCCCATCTCCTCCTCCTCCTCCTCCTTCGCCTGTCCTCCTTCATCATCCACCTCTATTTGCAAAGCATGCAGCCTGGCCATTTCCCGTGCAATCATTCCCATAAAATCCACTGGGGTCCCGCCGTTTCCTTTTCTTTGACCCGTCATAGCCAATTCCTCCGGGTTCAACGGGCGTGCATCCAACCAACCTTCCACCCGCCCATTGGTGAATCTTCCCCAGTATGTTGGAGCGTATTGCACGGCGGATAAAGCAGCGAACAGTCGATTTTCCTTTTCACGGTCGATGATAACTTCCGTATTGCGGCCGTAGATGCGGACTATCACATCACGAGGAGTATGGGGGCTTGCAAGCGTGCAGGTGGAAGGCAGGGCAAGCCGGTAAAGGAGATTTGTAATGCCACCGCTTATGACTGCTATGGTGATGTCAGCGTCACTGCTGGCGGAGGAAGGAGGTTGAACGGGAATAAGGGCGGCCCAGCCAGGAACAATCTCACGGACGACATCACGGAGACCTTGGTTCAAAAGCTGGGGGTCGGAGTAATCAATGATGTAGGGAAATACGCAGCTAGCATTGTCGAGATATGATGAGCGCGGTATTGAGTCGGAGGCCGGAGTTGTACGTGTTGTCGAGGTAGACATCCTGGGGCTTTAGACGGACAGGGGATGAAAGAAGGTCAAGCGCTCAAGCTTTGCGAAGGTTGGTCGGAAGAGCTCTTCTGCGACCGCTGACAAAACTTGCCTGTGCCACCTACATAAGAGTGTAGACGATACACATGAAATTTTGTCCCGTGTGTATTTTTGGCAGTCATTGTTGCAAAAAACCCTATGCACATGTACCTGTTCAAGCAGCTTTCTGTCGGGCAATTTCAAAATTCCGACGGATAAGCGACCGTTTCGGCCGAAGGGGGGAGGTTAAACGGAAAACCAGTTTGGGAAAGAATGTAGTCAAAATACTTTTAGCACCCATCCAATTCAAGACCGGGAAACATAGTGTCGTCATATCTTACAGCTGTCCTTTTCCTTAAATCAATGTGTACCGACGGTTTTGAGCTCACTTATACTCAAGGACTTTGAGTACAAATTCAGGAAGAATCTCACTTGCATTGCCACTGATAGAGTGTGCGATGTAATTGTTTCTTGGAACCATTTATTCTTCCACTAGGAAAATCAGATTTATTTATTCAAAGATGCTGTCAAAAATTGCTTTCTATAAAGCTCATACATGAGGATGAGAGACCCAAACAGAGGGCCCTCGCCATTCCCAAGATCTCTTCGACATATAAGTATACATCGCTTTCTTGCCCTCCTCCATACACAACTTCTCCACCCCATTCCCAAAGCCTCATATTGACAGAGATAATGCAAGGCAAGCCTGCCAACGTCATTAATATAAAAGCCGCCAGCCAGACCCATTGGTTCGCGCATACCTTGGCTCTCACAAAGTTTATCACCGGCTCAGACAGTCCGCTAAGGACGGGAAACCCCACATCAAAAGTTTGATGATGCCGTCGATGCAAGGCTTCGGAGACAAGAAAACCTCGGTCCTGAAGATATTGCGCGAAAGCATGGCGTTTGCCTCGAGGAAAATGAGCTTGTCTATGCGCCCACTCTAACAGGTAAGCATTGACCAGCCCGCATGCCATTGTGGCGTGAATGTAAGGATTAAAAAGTCCGCCATGCGCATAGAAGACAATTGTGCAGACAATAAATTGCAATGCAACGATGAGATTCAAATCGGCGGCGATTTGAGGATAGCTACGCAAAGTAATTTCGCTGGGTATGACATGATGATATTGGAATTCTAGACAGGCCTCCCACAACACTGGGAGGAACAAGAAGGAGGGGTTATCAAGGTTGACATGCAAGATAGCGCCATACAGCTCAATATACAGGTAGGTGATGATGAACGCGCTCATTCCGAAGGCAAGGGAGGGACATCGGAGCAAGCCCGCCCCTGTGAGGGCCCAGTACGCGTAGAGAAGGACCATCCACCGATGCTTGAACACGGGGTTACCTCTTCGTACGAGCTCATACATTGGCCAGTCGGGATGAGAAGGGGTAAGGACCTTCTCCATCTCTTGTGCCCGCTTCATCGCCATGCCATTTAGCTTCTCTATTCGCTGAGCTGGAGTTAGAATCCTCCACGTGCGGGCTTTGCTCTCGGAGTCATGCCCCCCGACCGCAGTAGAAGAACAATCATGCAAGCGACTGTCTGGTCGTGATGTACAATTCGCGGATCGGGTGGTTGTGGCTACCTTGGTGGTCGACATGGTGAGAATCGCCTGTCAAATCGCGCGTTAGCCTCTGTAAGGTTGGTGGGGACTTTTGGGGTGAAAATTGTGTCAAATAAGACGCAGAATGCACATTTCCGCGTACTCACGTGTTTAGCAAACGAGACGACTAGCAAAGATTTAAATGCACCTAAAAAGGGTGTTTCCACCCGGAGCTTCCTCACCGAGGGCTGAGAACTTCTTTGAGAGTACTCGTTTTCCTGTAACGTTTCCGTTGTTTAAACCTGACGCAGAAAGAAAAGGAAGCTGTATTAGAGCTAGTTGAGCGTGGTTATTGAGGGCTGTGCCAAGGAGACACCCGAGTTGCTTTCTTTCTAATGATCTTGCCAATCCTTGCTAGGCCCAAATGACACATGCGGGGAGTCACGATGGCGTCATCCACGTGTGCCGGAATCATGTCCTCTTGAATACGTTCCTACCGTGCGTACAGTGGACGATACATCCAATAAATATAATGAAACTGGTGCTTCAATTGTTCGTACACCAGCGAGACTTCTCAGGATTGTTGGGAAATAAAATCTGAAGCAGGACCCCAGCTTATGTTGCTATCGAAAAAATCGAATAAAGATATAAATAAGCCTGCTCCGGTCTCGGTCAGCTTTGTCTTTTGAATCTCTAAATGCGTATCAATCAGTCGATCCTGGGCCACAATTAATCCATAACGCTAACTAATACCATAAAGCTTCTTGGTTGGATGATGAATGATGACTTTGAAAAGAAATTCATGGCTCAAAGCCTTATCCTCCGTTCAGCGAACCGGCCACAAGCTGCACCTGAAAACAGTATAACATCACAAAATTTTGTCGATATGATTCAGTATTAAAAATCCACGAATCGTTCTTTCCTGATGGTACCTTTTCCTTGCATACATATTTACATTTGCGCTCCATGACGACATTTCTCTCGCCATCACCATGTCCGCCATGACCCCTCCACCATCCGCATGCAGCACCCACTCACTCCAACACGAAGACGTTTTCAACCGACTGCATTCGCGGACCACCTATCCAAATCTTTCACAACAAAGGGTGCACTGCCCCACCCGCCGCCCCTCCCACCACCTGCCCGATGGACGCGTCCACCGACGCCATCACCTCCTCCCCCCACAGCCTCCATCCCGTGGATATGATCTCCCCCGTCGCTACCCCGATGGCCACGTCCCGCAGTACCCTAGGCCCTGCCTCTCTTCCCCACGCCCACACCAAGCGACCCAACACCTGACGGTACTCCCTGGTCAGCGCGACTCCGCCTTTTCCCCCGCCCTTTTCCCCGTCCACGGCCGGCAAGCGGGCGACTGTGGAAAAAGTTAAGGTGTCCCCACCGTTGTCGGCGTGGATGGCGGCAATCACGCCCGGTACATGCAATGCCCCCATCACCGCCACCACC